CGAGCTGGTCCTATCTATGCGAGGTAGTGGAGTGGTGGTACGTAGTTGTTAACATAATACAGTATAGATATTTCATAGTCATATTCAATACACACGGCGACCAGTGAGTACAACACAAGACGGTGATATCATCGCGAACCGTACTCAACGACTGTCGGTTTGCTTGATGTGCACAACCACGACAAAAAAACTATTTCTGATAATTATGTTAGATAACGGTGGTTAAACTGTGGCTGATTGGTTATATTTATATTCTACGCATAATTGTATCGTTAAAATTGTAATAACATGGGGTTTATCAGTAAAAATATCTTTGTTATGATACTACTTTGTTAAGTGCATAATTTATCTGTCATTTTAAGTTGTTTGATGATTTTTTTCATGTTTTATAAGCCTTTTCACCATGTTTTTAAAAAATAATAAAAATAAAGGAGCTAATTAGATAAAACCGGCATGATGTCACCTTAAACCTGCCTCCTACCATGTCTGAGTTGGGGACCAAACACCATTGTTCTTTTGGGCCCGAACCATCTCATTTGGGCTCGGACTTGACTCGTGAACCCACCGGGACTAATGATCAGAAGCCGGGACTATCTGTAACTGGACTCGTGAACCCAACTTTTTAAACCGGGTTTTATCCCTGCTTAATTGTGTGCAGCCTATCAGTTTGGTCCGCGGCTTATAAAGTCTCGAGCTCGTGAACCCGATTTTTTAAGTCGCGGACCAAATACCGGTTATTTCCGGATTCTGGGCTCGGACTACGATGGTCCCGAGCTCGTGAACCGCCCCTTAGGTACTTTCAGGTTAAGGGAAACATTAATTATTATCGATGATTTCTTTTTGATATATCGATATTTTTGTTTTCCTTTAAGACACATTTTCCTTTCTTCAAAGGCATTTAAATTACAGACAGACAGTCAAACAGCCATATCAAATATGTCTAAGTTATACTTGGTTCAATAACCGAGTTATTGAGTTTTAGCTCGTATTAGAGAATAGGATTAAGAACTAATCCACAGTGAAGTAATATAAACAGAGTGAAGAAGGATATGGGACGGCTGTTGCGCGGGTGCTCTAGTTTACATTTTTCCCGCAGTGTAGCGCGCGCATGTCAATTGCTCTTCCTGCTCGTCAAATTCCACTATTTACTCAACTCCAAGCTGGAAGAGAACGTAACGGATCGCTTTGGTGTTTATAGGCCAAGACTATGAGTGGCCGGTCGGCGTTTAAATTGTACCATTTGTACGAATACCTAAGGTCTTTTAACTTTTCGTTATTTTCATGACATGTTAAAGACCACAATGTTATTAAAATTATTAAAGTTATTAAAATAATCATGTATTAACAAAATAGGACATTATCAACGTTATAATTATTTAGTTAATAATATATTAAATTATCAAAAGATGGTTAAGCAAGACGTTCTTTTATAGTTAAAACTACCCTCTACAAAGAATTCCTTTTTGAATATTACCTACAACTGTTTTAGAAATGCAGAGTAATTGTCACAAAAAACTGCTTGCGTATTACATTAGTAGCCTATGTAATACACGCTAATAATAACCTATATAATAAAATTTAATCAATTGGTCAGAAAATGAATTTACATACCACAAACATTGAGTAATTTACTTTTAATTTAGAAAAAAAATTAGTATAACGGTTGTTATACATAGGATTGTCGTCATTTCTATTTCTTTTTGTAAACTTTGACACCATTGTACAAATGTATGAACAAAGAATATTTCAATTGAAAATTTAAAAAAAGACAATAAATTATTGTACCGTATCCCATCATTCTTTTACCGGCAAAAAATTGGAGTAGTAGCTGTAAAGACGAGGGATAAATATTTATTTCATCCTGAGAAGTTATCCGAATTACTCGCTGAATATCAATTTTTTATAATTTTCATAGTCCCTAATATGTTGTCCATTGCCAAATTTATAGTACGTATGCAACTCATAGTCAATTGTAGCAAGGTGCAACAGCTGTAGTTGCATAAAGAACATAAATAATTATTTCTTCATCACACTATGAGGTTTTTAGCTGTTTTACAAACGTTTATTGGAGGCTGAAAGCTACATTTTGCTGCCCATGCCAGCTGTGTCGTCGTCACTTTTTGGCCGAGCAGGTTTTTACATCCCTATAGGGCCAAAAGTCAGTTGTTCCTTTATTTATTAATGTGTATTAAGTACACAAGCAGTGCATTGCAGTAGACTTGTTTTATTGTGCTGTCTAGCAACTATTATTTATTCTGCTGATTTTGTTAAATATTTCTTCACATAGCCTTAAAGTTTTAGTTTTGTTGACTTTTTGTGTACGCGGTAACGTACTTAAGCAGAGTTATTTTATATCACTTAGAAAAGAAATACTCCTGTCTTAAAAATGTTCCGAGTTGTGTTCAAAACAAAATAAATTCCTGGAAAATAACGATGAGTTATTTGTACCCTTCAAAGCGTACAGCACCAAAATACCCTCAGATTTTGGAAACTTAAAAGTGCCGTCTAGTGAGTTTTGCAATGTGATGGACATCTGCATGAGTGCCTTTGAAAGAAATGTAAATAGTTTAATTACAAGCATTGGCGTCAAGAAAATTTTAGTTTCTGTTTGTATAAATGAAGTTAACGATGTCTTTCCTGGGTGGCTTGAAAAATGCTACATTCACCGAACATTTTGCATTGACAAACTCGTGTTCATCAAATTAAGGTACGAAATTAAAAGACGTTCGTGTGTGTTATATCTTCCAATTGCGCGTAAGAAACAAAGATCATCAAAGGATGTACAAAAATGTGTTAGGAGAAAATTGTTTTACTAGGTAGTTGTTAAGTTGTTACCGGTACACCTTTTAGGCATAACTTTTGTAATACCAGTGGATTATTTCGTACACTTATTTTTTAATTATGTGAATAATCAATGAATCTCAAACGATTTTAATTAGGAAGGTCTAAAACTATGTAATTTATATTTATTTAACTTCAAACTTAAGAGTGTGTGTTCCTATAGTATAACAAGTCTTAATACATTGTACAAAGTTAGTTTTGATTTTGCAAACCAGTAAAACACTGTCATATTTTTATGTCCAAGTCCCAGGTTTTAAACGTTTTGCGTATAGGGCTGTTGATTTTTTTACACTATTACGTACATCCGGCTTATAAACTTTCTTTACTGATAAATCTATTGTTACTTTAAATAGGTAGTATTTAAATAATAATGGTTGGCTATCAATAAAAGCCACTTAATGTTTATTTACTTAAGTATCTTGCAAATTTTTATTTTAATATTTTGTAAATTAAAGAGTGTCAAACGATTTGATGTAGGAATGTATAAAATGTTATTATTTATTTTACTTCAAACTTAGCGTATGATTTCTTTACGTTGTTATACGTGAGTAAGTTGTTTAATGAAGATTTAGTATATTAGTGTAAATAATTTTATTGCATAACCAACTTCAATGTAAATATGTAATATAAGCAAGATAGTTCATTATTTTGAACTCTTTAGAATATCATTCAAGTGTGTAATGTACTTTTAAACTTGTTTTTCTTTCTACGATAACATTATGTAATGCATGTACCCATAGTTGAATAGGCTATATTTTAAAAACTTACCAATTAACACATATTTAGTTAAGTAATTAAGTAATAGCGAAAACACAGCAAAGATACAAATTTCCTGGCCCTTTCAATTTACATTTTGAACTATTTAAAATATAGCCTACATCTACCGTATAGTTCTCCATATACAGAGTGTCCCGGAACTCTCTACCAATATTTTAGGGCATTGTTCCTGGGTAGTTAACATACCTAAATATCATATTTAAATTGTCCGGAAGTCCTTAGTTACTCACACAGCCGCCTTTTTGTTTTTTTAAGTTATTAATTTTTTTCTAAGGAATGGTTATTGAAACTTTGCACAAACATTTATGACAACTAGACAAAGCTACCAAAAAATTATGAAGATTTTTAAAATTCATAAAACAAAATGGTGGCCATTTTAAGTTTTGTTTCTTAAATAACTCGAAAACCATTGATTTTACAAAAATTTTACAAGAATAACTTTTTTAAGGTAATTTTATTACAAATCGATTGACACCTTAATTTTGAAGATTGAACAAGTATTAACTAAGATATGGTAGTTTTAGTGATACGGACCGCTTTCAGCATGCGCTGCAACTAACCTCCAGCGGTTACGAATCACTAAAACTACCATATCTCAGTTAATACTTGTCCAATCTTCAAAATGAAGGTGTCAATCGATTTGTAATAACATTTCCATAAAGTTATACTTGTACAATTTTTGTAAAATCAACGGTTTTTGAGTTATTTGAGAAACAAAATTTTAAATGGCCGCCATTTTGTTTTATGAATTTTAAAAATCTTCATAATTTTTTGGTAGCTTCGTCTAGTTGTCATAAATGTTTGCGCAAAGTTTCAATTTCGTATGTTTAACCATTCTTTAGAAAAAAATTAATAACTAAAAAAAAGTGGGGACACGCTCGGTACATGGGGACACGGATTACGCCCAACACAGATATTAACTCTGTTTATATTACTTCTCTGTGACTAATCTTGTTTAGGCAAAGATAATAGCCTATATATTGGATTAAGAAATGAAGCTATTCCAAACTAACCTAACATAGCTAACCAAACTTGCTGTGGCCTAAGTTACCGTTTCAAAATTCCGTTTGATAACAGAAAAGGCATATATTTTATATGTTTATATAAAAGGCTTATATATATAAGGAAATATATAAGCTATCAAACGTAATTTTGAAATGTTACAGCAAGTTTGGTTAGTTAGGTTAGTTTAGAACAGTTTCGTGAACAGTTCTATTAGTTTAGTAAAAAAAAAAAAATATATATATATATATTAGGCCTATATTTAAATCCATTAATTTGTGTATATTTATATTTCTACCTACTTGTTTATGATGAGTTATAACATTGCAAACTCTTTTAAATGATATTGAATATCCAATAAAGCTGTGTGATACTTCCAGGTTATGTTCGGTTCCTCAATGATCGGAGAGAAACTGTTAGAAATGAAAACCCAAATATGCCATTTTCTGAAATAACTAAGATTCTTGCGGGAGAATGGAGCAACCTTCCAGCAGAGGAAAAACAGGTATTTTATTATATTATTTATGATATACCAATTAATTAGTGTAAACATGATGATCTATTTGAAAGAAAAAAATTAACAATTAACTGTTGTGTGCCAGACTGGTGGTTTTCTTGGAATACTGATCAAATTTGTTGTCAGCAATATCTAGATGCTGCTGATCAAGATAAAGAGCGTTATAATGAGGAGATGAATGCCTACAAGAAAACAGAAGCTTACCGACTGTTTACTCAGAAACAAGCTAACAAAAAACAGAAAGAGGAATCTCAAGATGAGGTAAGGAGATAGATGACTTTTTTAAATTTTCGATAAGCTGTTAACCATTTTCTTTCTACACGTTGTTCTAATGTGGCAAAGAATTGAGGTTACAGTAGACTCCCTCTAGTTCGGCCACCTCGGGACCGGACTACAAAACGGCCGGACTAACCGGATGTAGTAGAACCTCAATTATCTGGGGTGATGGGAGGAGACCACCGATAACTGAAAACCACGGTTAATCCAACATGGCATGAACATATATTACATACCCATAAAACACAGCGAATACTTTATAAAATGGACTTTAATGTGATAATTAATTTGCATTTTCATAGTCAAAATACAAATAATAGTGTTGCACAGTCGTGATATGTTAAAGCAATAAATCATGTAAAGAACAGAACAATAGAAAGTCTAGTACCGGTACTGCAAGCTACTGCTACCATAGTCAGCATAGGCTACTACAACATGTTGTTTCAGAACATAAGAAATGTCGATAAAAACATTAACTCATAAAGCAGCATAAAATCATAGTACTTAGTCGTTGGGCGATTCTCTGGGAAGTGGTCCTGCATTGTTATTTTTAAGAATTGATTAAAACTGGTTCAAACATTGTTTTTTATATAAAACAATAATAAAATATCCCTTAACCAGTCTTTAAAATTAAAATAAAAAATTATTTTTCATGAAATGAAGCTTCAAACTTGGGCAAGTTCTATTACAGTCAAATGGTACTTTTTTCCAGAATTTTAAGTAAAGATGTTTATGGTTAGATGAGTCAATAAATTGAAACAACTTATATTAGTAAATAATTGAAAATATAATTTGTTAAACCTTTGTAAAAGAAAAAAGAAATATTAAATAGATTTTGAGATATTGTTAAATTTCCAATCCATGTTTGCTTGTCCCGTGCAACACACAAAAGGTGAGATTTTTGTTTTAAATCCCAAACTAATTTATATTATTTATTACAACTTCAAAGCAATAAAGATAAAATATAAAATGAAGGCAACAATGTAGTTTACTATTTTTTATGTACTTTATTTTTTGTTTTATAATAGATTTAAAAAGTGTCCCGTGCAACACGTGTTGCACGGGACAATTAAACTGAAGTGGTGTTTATAAATAGATACCACTTATTTTCTTTTTAATTTTTAATAGAGACAATAGTTGCATATTTATTAACACAGGACTATAAGATTTCTTATCAAAATTAAATTGCAGAATTGTAAAACTTTTTTGAGAAAATGTCCTTGTTGTAAGACGTCAGTCACGCTTTCTCAAAAATGTCTATGGGTTGTGGAAATTCATAAAATATGCGCTCTCCCTTGGATTTTAATCGTGGGGTGTCAAAAAGCTTTAATATCTGTTCAAATCCAATATAAGACTTGTTAATATCATCTAGAATAAATTTCTTCCTCGTACTGTCCATACACTTTTAAAGACATATCACTCTCACTTCTCCATCTTCTTCAACTTCACTTTCAGCTACACACAAGTATCTGTAACTGTTATCTTTCTGTGTGCCTTTAAATTCTGCTAATAAAAATGTTCCATTCTTTAAATTTTGTCAACTTCAACATTAGTTTTCACTTGATTTCCTTGAGTTTCCGGCAATTCATAATTTAAGTCTTCCTCGGAAACATTATCATTTGTGACCATTCATTACTTTGTTCACTCACAGAATCCCTAAAAACCAAACGAAAAATTAATTCCTATTACCTCTAGCATGTGATTGCTCTTCTTTCTGTTCATAGCTATTTTTGTAAAGGTTCTTCTGTTGCAGTGCACAACGTGTGCTTTGGAGATCCCACCCACTTTCTTTCCTTTAATCCAGACTGAACCATCTCTGAGAATCTCAGAATCTAATATCAAGTGGATTTTTGTGTTCGGTAAGACCTAGACCCGGGACCGATTTACTTTTTCATTTTGATGTCCCCAGAGGCCAAAAACACCATTCGTTCAAATTTTTATATATGTATATATACCTAATGACAATTTACGGAATGTACGTTTATGAAACAATTTTATCAGTAAAGGACAGACTTCATGATTTGGAACGAGTTGGGGATAGTCATAATTATTTCACCAGAAATCGGGAAAACCTTGCAATTGGCCACCATAGTCTAAAACTTTTTGAGAAAAAACCCATGTATGCGGGATCAAAATTTTATAATAATCTCCCAATTGAAATTAAATCAGAGACTTCCAAAACAATATTTGAAAATAAATTAAAGAGATTTCTCACCAGCAAGGCTATTTTTTCTTTTGAAGAGTTGAATAGTCTTTGAAGTCAAAAACAAATTCAATTTATGTATTTTTTGTTTAGACTTAAAAAAAAAATTAAGTTTGTGAAATTTTGTTTTTATTTTATTATGTTAGAAATGTATTTCATAACTATTAGGCCTAAGCAACTGTTGACACTATTCAATGTATTATGTACAGGAAATGAATAAAGTGGTTTTGAATTGAATTGAATTGAAATCAAGTCTTTTCATTTTTAAAGACATGACGCGATCTATCTGACATTGTCAGTCAAGGATCAAGAATACAAGTATCAAGTAAGTATCAAGTAAGTAGCTATGATTTCCATGTACATCACGCCACTATGAATCGTATGATTTTCAATAAATCTCATTGGCTACAAACATCACCTGATTCCCTCTCCACCTACATCACACCACCGTCCATGTCCGTACGTCCCTACAACAGTCAGTCTACCTCCAGAATTCGAACCTTAACCCGTTTGTAGCCGTGTCTAAAACATGTAAAATATCGTATTTATTTCAGCAGTCCACTTCCTAAGTCCAATTCAACCCACGAACACAACAAATGGCGACGAGGTCGGTCAAATTTACATACCGCACAATGCAACTGTTCGATTGTGCCGCGTAGTGTAAATTTCGAACGCGTTTGTGAATGTCGGATGACGAAGTGGACTTAGACTTACTACTGTTGTTTGAAGATAGTAGTGAAGTGTCGGGTTACTCCAGCATGGCCGGGATAATTGGCAGCATCGGCGAGTACGACCAGAACTCCGAGACGTGGTCTTCATACATAGAACGATTTGAACTGTTTGTCGAATGTAACAATATTAAGGAGGAGAAGAAGGTTAGCACTTTATTGACTGTTGCTGGTGTTAAAACGTATAGTTTACTACGGGATCTGTGCACGCCCGACGTACCATCGAAGAAGAGTTTTAAGGAAATAGTGACTATTATTAAAGATCATCTCTACCCGAAACCATCGTTCATCGCCGAGAGATACAAGTTCAGCAAAAGAATTCAGCACGAGGGAGAATCAGCTGCGGAATACATCGCGCAGTTAAGGAAGATGTCTACACATTGTGATTTCGGCGCATCTTTAAATGACTACCTGAGGGATCGTCTAGTCTCCGGAATCAGGAACGAATCGACCAAACAAAAATTGTTAGCAGAAACCAGCCTAACCTTAGACCAAGCCGTCAAAATCATCACATCAGCAGAAGCCGCTGAGAAGAATGCCGCAGCCTTGTCGATCAACGGGAGCCGCAACGTCGAGCGACTACAAAAGATGACGTCACACCATCGCAGAGTACCAGGCGGAAGCAGCGCACCATCGAGTGTCACCGTCACCGCACATACAGGTCACCACAATCACCCCAAAAGCAGCTCTTCGCACGACAACAAAGTGCAGTGTTCGTGTTGTGGAAGTGCATTTCATTTACGAAATCAGTGTCGATTGTTAGGTATAACGTGTAACGCATGTGGAAAGAAGAATCACATTGCTAAGGTTTGCCGATCTAACCCCTTAACCGCCACGCACGAGATATACCGGGCGATACTAGTTTTCAGAGCAACCGCCACGTACGAGTTATCTCGTGTTGACGTAATCAGCTGTTGTGTTTTATTTTTAACAGCTCACTTCCCGCCTTATCTCTGATATACGTACGTAAACAAGTTGTTGACAGTGCTGCTTGACTAGTGCTGCAATCTGGTGGATTTTAGTGGTACTATAGGTCAGTAATGGTCCCGATCAGTTCCATTCGTAGTTTCAGTAAAACTTTACTGCTTGCGGAAGCTTACGTAATGCTTACGTACATTATGCGTGTCATTATAATTGTGTTTTTTGGTGGTTATTTACTTGGTAGTGTTGAATGAGTAGTAAATATTAGTCGTAATGGCTGGTGACATGCTTGAGGATGACGATTTATTAGAGTTGTAGACTTTATTGTAGGCCAAATTTTTATTATAGGCCTAACTCAAGAAACCCCCGAACCCCACCCCCCCCCCCCACAATCACAAATTTTAGTAGGGTATTGTTAAAGCTTAATGTTTTTGAAGATGTCTACAAACAATATTGATAACTATTTTCTTTAGAAAAACAACTGGTACAGTTTATTAAATCACAAGTAAAAATCGTCAAAAACGGCAAAAATAAGTGGCAATGGCGGATTTTGACTAGGCTACTTAGACGGCTACTTAGATGTTAAGGGGCTAAGAGTAAGTCACAAAAACAACATTCTCATCATTTTAGTAATAGATATAACAGTAGGCATAATTATGTAGAAGCAGTAACGAGTGCAAGCGATGATAACCCTAAAGCTGAAAGCTATGAGGAAGATATTCCAAATTTATTCAAAATGAATGAAAGTAAAGTAGAAAATGCTAAAGTAAGCCCTATTAAATTATAATTAACAGTTAAGTTAAAACCAATTCATTTTGAAGTTGACACAGGCGCAAGCGTAAGTGTATGTAGTTAAAACTTTTACAATGAAAATCTCAACACTTGTAAATTGTTATCCACTGACTTATCTCTGAGTTCGTACACAAATGAACCAATCGTTCCGTTAGGGAAAATTGAAGTAGATGTACAGTATCAAGGAGTAAACAAATGTCTAGAATTGTATGTAATTAAGAAGGGAGCTCATCCTCTGATAGGACGTAATTGGCTTCAGAGCCTTGGTGTGGAAATATCTTTCAAAGATAAAATTTTTGGCATTGATAATAACGCTAGTATCGATCAAACTGTACATAGTA